TGTACAAGTTATGTTAAAAGACATAAATAGGGCCATAAATAGTTGATTCAAATCATTCATAGATCTATTTTCTATTATCATGGGAGATTTCATGTTCTTGATGAAGAATTTATGAAAAGTTGTAAATACTTGAATATACTTTTTAATATATTTTATTTTAAGGCTACAAATGGCTCTCCATAATTTTTAAGTCCAACTTGGAGTCAAGTGCGACTGAGAATCTTTGTGAAACACCTCCAGATCTATACCGGTAAAACAATGTTATGTAATTTGTATCAATTTAGCTTGAAAACGAAAGAATCTAGGAATGCCTAGAAAGGTCTACAAAAAAATTGTCTGTAATAATAATTACAGACTGTTCCATCTTTGGCACCTTTACTATGGTAGACCGATGTATAGACAAAAAGCATAAATCTCATTTACTTGTGGAGGCATAAATATGAACAGTTGGCATGTTTGTATACAGTAATGCTTTTGTATTAACACAAATTAACTGTTCACTTAATTCAGAACTTGGAGATGTATAATTTTAAAAAGCACAGACTAACTTAAACTAAGTTGACTTTTGATGGTGTTCTAAAAAGATATGACAGGTTTGGAGAAGCGACAAGTTTCTTGTGGGGGAATTTTGTCTCACTTGGCAAAGACAGTTTTGTGAAACACTTTGTGGACAAGTAGAGCGAGTGCTTCAAGATGTCATTGATCTTGTTGTTTTGAGGGTTTCGTGAAACAACCCCAAGGGGGTGTTTCATAAAGCTGTTTGTAAAGTTACGCATGACTTTACAAACGACTTGTATAGAAGTGCCAGATAGGATGCCCAAAGTTTTTTCTGATATTTAATAATATAGATATTTATATAGCGCCGGTGTCCGTCAGGCTCTGACGCTCATGGCGCTGTACATACATGTATTACTATCACAAAAATATAACTTTCTTAACTAAAATAAAGTAAACTAAAACAACAAAAATTATTACGCTACATTGACATGATTAAATAGCACTGTTTAGAAAGAGATGGGTTTTTAGAGCAACTTTGAAGGCATGAAGGGTAGTTAAATTACGAATACTAAGTGGCAGCTTATTCCAAAGGGACGGTCCAGAATGAGAAAATGCTGTATCCCCCAGGAACTGCGCGTCTTAGGGACAACTAATAAGGAGGATTGAGATGAACGAAGATGTCTTGTAATGTAGGCTTATACTTAACAATCAACTTGATATTTCCTATAACCTAAATTAAATTATGGCAAAAAATTTACCTTGCATTAAAAATGTTTGTTATCATAAGAATGTTAGTCTACATCTGCACAGTTCAACTTTAGTTGATGTATTTAATAATGATTGAGCATCCCATTTGGCTTTTCATATGCAAGTCGTTCGTAAAGTCATGCGTAACATTACAAACAGCTTTATGAAACACCTCCAGGTGGCAGAGTTTGCAAGTGAAGGTACATGTATCTTCATGAATGGTAGAGGGTGCACTTCTTTCAATGACATTTTGCATTGACTACATGTAGCTGCCTGTGTCTAAGGTTAACTCACTACTTTCTAAAGTGATGTTGCAGTTTGGCTGACTTTGGAGAGTTATGTCACCAATTCTTTTTACGAGGCCGCCATCCATCTCCAGCCTAACCGCTCACGATGGTGGTCTCCTGCGTTCCAAATTACCTCTCTAATTTATTGAAAATATTTCATATTTCTTATGTTATTGTATGCTTCGTACATGTTTATCGAATGATATAATTGTACATGATTTTTCATTCAATTACTTTTGTAAACATTGTATTCATTGTATTTGTTATTGTTCGAAATTTTGTACTTTGACTTTGAATTTGTATATTTTTGAACGCAGAAATAAAATCAATCAAACAAACAAAACAAACTTAATAAGGTACTTGGGGGGGGGGGGGGGTCTTCGGGAGAGCGCCTGTGCCGGGAGAGTCTGGCATCGAGGTTCTGGGTGTACGTGGTGTCTGGGCTTCCGAAAGGTCATCTTTTCCAGCTTTCTTTGTATTCTTTGGTGGCATCTTCTTGTTTGTCTTACTAATATCAATATGATAAGACAAACTGCTGGGTGAAATATCCGTAAAGGTATCCGTGAAGGTCGGAGAATATCTTGTCCAAAATTCAAATGAAGGAGAGACTTGTAACGCACGTCCTACTCGTTCGCGGCCATTCAGATCTGCATCATATAGGATCTCAGAGGCATGAGTCCTGTGAATAGGATTGGCATCATCCCTGTTGTTCTTTGGAGATGAAGGATTCTCTTGAACAGCAGACGTTGACTTGAGCCTGGTCAAGTGCAGTATATAAGCTTCATTCTCCATTCCCAACCACCCCTGAACAAGAAGGTGTCCCCACTTGCCCAATAGAGAGAGAAAAAAAAACAGAGGATGCTGATTTAATTTAGATGTACAGGATTAAGGTTGATCATGTGTAGTCTTTGGGCCTGAGAGAATGTAATAGCCATTTGGTTAAATAAGTTTGCAGGCAGTTACAAATCATTCTTAGCCACAATGTTAAAAATACAATTGTATTTGTACCACAGGATCTGTCAGTGTTTTATTGTCTGTCGGTACATGGTCTGTTTACAGACCTAGATCAAAGCCAGGCCCTTTGTGGTCCACATGCTGTGTTATGACTTTGTATGGAAATCCTAAACACCTTTATTTGGAATTTCTATGACAAGTGAGAAGCCATCTTCAATTTGTGGTGGAGATGATTTGCTATTGCCGCTTAAAGGTATTGGGTAACTTTGCATCCTGGACTTAGCTCATGCTGCAATCATAATTATAAACCTGTAGGTCAGAAATGAATCCCATTGCTCTTTCAAGCCAATTGCATGTTTGATTATCAAGATATTCATGATTGGGATTCAAAATTTATACAACCGTTTTCCAAATGGTTATGTATAACACTACAGTCTATAAAGGAAAATGAGTGTGATAAAACCGGTCACTCAAAGATGTTTACATTTTGGAAGCACTTTATGATCATTTTGAAGGGCAATTTTTGTAGGGCTTCAATAAAATTTAGTACACCATATCACAGACACTGATTACATGTAGGGCCATGCATCTCAGATTTGTAAAACTGTGCCTTTAAAAGTTTAAATGGGTCAAGCCTTCAGACTAGTTGTAGGGCGACTACTCTGAACCACAGTAGTGGTGGCTACATGTAGGTGCTGTAAATGGGTGTTTGTTGTTTCTGCTTTTTGGAACAGCTCCACTATGCTGTCTCTGCAGAGTAGAGTCATCAAGGTGACTTAATGATAATATGGATATTTATATAGCGCCGGTATCCGCCAGGCTCTGACGCTCATGGCGCTGTACATACATGTATTACTATCACAAAATATAACTTTCTTAACTAAAATAAAGTAAACTAAAACAACACAAATTAATACGCTACATTGACATGATTAAATAGCACTGTTTAGAAAGAGATGGGTTTTTAGAGCAACTTTGAAGTCATGAAGGGCAGTTAAATTACGAATACTAAGTGGCAGCTTATTCCAAAGGGACGGACCAGAATGAGAAAATGCTGTATCCCCCCAGGAACTGCGCGTCTTAGGGACAACTAATAAGGAGGATTGAGATGAACGAAGATGTCTTGTAGGCTTTATACTTAACAATCAACTTGATATTGTAGGAAGGAGCAGAGTCATACAAGGAATGGAAAACTAGCAACAACAACAACTTAAAAATAATTGTGACATGTCATCAGTCCTGAGCAGCAGGATGCAAGAATAAATGAGGGCTGCTCCCTCCTCGAGCCCAATTGTCATTATCTCAATTTGAAGCAATATGCTTTTAAGTAACCCATTGTCTATTGGAACCCGGTGGCCCTGTATTAAGCCTATGGGAATTAGAGAATTCAGAGTCAATAGGTTAAAGAGCCTAAAGACGCAGGCAAATCTATTGTGATAGTTAATCAATATGTATTTTGTCTTCTGGATATACAAATTGTATGTCTAATCTTTCCTGTTTATATTGCTAAGCTACATGTACCGGTACCTAATGACCCCTATTATTTTTCCTTCCCCTTTGTCAACATGGGTCCCATTGTTTTAATTGATTATTAGTTTTACATGTACATGTGCATGGAGGTGACTAATCTGCATACTTGGTCAATTTTACACTGGAAAAATCTGCCTTCCTGCAAAAAAAAAATTACTCCATGAATATGTTGGAAATGAAGACGGCTTCTTTCTTTTGTTTAAAACCAAATAGCTGAGTTGAAAATCAAAATATGTTATATTTTCAGAGAAATTTTGTTTATAGCATTATTTGACTGTTGAGCTTTTCATGTACAAGAAATTGTATGATATATTATTTTGCTAATTATTTTTTATACCATATGACCCTACAAAAGACCACATGCTTTTGTAGGCAAGGAACTTTGGAGAATTTTGAAAGTGGTCCAGATGTTTATAAGTTTGACGACTAACAACCATTGTATTGTAACACCAAGAATGTTAAATATTTTGGATTTTTGAAAGTTTCTTGTCCTGCAAATGGCTATTCAATATGTACACCCTGTATGTAAACATGTTCAGGATCCATGTCGTGCAAAAGTAGAGCAAAAAGGGCTCTTTGATTCTGTAAACATCATTCATAGAATGGCCTTTTTTTTTAGATAAAAGGCTTCTTATATGGTTTCACTTGCGTGATTAGAATCTTTACAAAAGTCTGCTGCCATCTTTCTTTTCACTTGTGCAGGAATCACTAAAGCATCCCAAACTCACTGAGATAACGAGGAAGATCACATTCTGAACAAGGGCATCCATAATGATATTGCGACATCTTTGTTTGAAGATTGTGTAAGACTGTAAGATCCTGGGCTGCTACCACTGACTGAACAATATATATAACCACCACCACCAGGCCATTCTTATGAAAGTGCACGGAGGGAAGAAAGATATGAACAAAGAAGGAAACTAAAGACTGGAATTGATACCTTTGTTGCAGTTGGTGACATTATGAAAAACGTGTAGACATGCAGGTATCGTCAGAGTCATCGGTTTTATGTAAGTAAATTTATTCCTTATACAAGTTTCTTGTCATTTGGTGGATATTTATATTTAATCTCTCTGTTATTAAAGCAGGTTTGTCTTTTAAATGTACATGCTACAAACAAAAAGAGAAACCTAACTTTGACAAATATTTGCGAATGTACATGTATTGTATGTTTACCATTAGTAAGATGCATACCATCTAAAAGAATTATTTCCTATGCTTTTCGAGGATACCATATTTATTTTTTATAGGGTCATGAGTGACTGAGCACCATTGACTTGTAATCTAGTGCAAAATTATGGTTGGTTTACTTTTATTTAACAAAATAGATGCACAATAAGGAGGATGTTATTATGGTGAATTTTTTTGTCTATAACCTTTGCGGTTTCTCTATTATTTAATCAACCTAATTCTCTGTAGGGGGGGGGGGTCACATTTTGGGTACGAGGTATTGATGATTCTTCCTATTTAACCTTTACGATGGGAAATGTACCGTGAAGAAAAATAATCATGGAACCAGCAGGAACCAAAAAGAGCCAGATCCCCAAGCAAAGCAAGAGGAAGAAGAAGAAGAAGAGGAGACATAATCGCATAATATTGTTTTCTGTTTAAAATGATACCTATTTATTTGCTCATTGCTGGGACTAAAGAGACATACAAGTAAACGAATTGTCTTGATAGTCTTATGTCTGATTCACTTACTGAAATTTGTTTCATGACTTTTGAGATTTTACTTGAAGTGTCTTAAATAAACAGAAATATGTCTGAAGGTCATGTCTGTTTTGCTGGAATTAACTATTTACATGTATTTACTAAATAATTGAAATAATAATAATAGCCACACTTATATTGCGCTCCTATCGATACCAGGGAATGCGTAAGTCAAGACACCTACAAAGTAGTAGTATTAAAACACTAGCTGGTCCAGCCACCCTACAATATGTATGCATTGTAGGTCTATTGACTCCATTTGTTTCTTGTAACATGCAATTTCTTAATAATTTTTAGAAATTGACTACCGGTTCATTGTACAATCTGCATGAAAACAAAAAATAAGTTAGATTTTGAATGGTTAATGATGCTTCAATATTATTCTGAAAACCACGGCACGTTTTATTTAAACAGGAACGAGATTAGTATTCATTCACGACATAACGGTTTTATATGAATATGCTGTGTGCTATTTAATAGACAATTATGATTTAATGATCATTACAAAATTCTGATCAGAATGTGCTGGTACCTATACTTAAATGTGATTGAAGGCTTTCCTGGGTAGAGGGGAAAACATATTTTAACCCATCGCCTACCGGTCCCAGGAGGTTCCTGTATCGAGCCACTTGCTATGAGAGAGTTCAGAAGTCAAATGGGTTAAACGCACCATGGAAAATAATTTTACGAAATGAACTGAACAATCGTTTTTGTCACTAAGGTCAGAAAGGAATATCATGATCTGCACGCAAAGCATATTGAGCTGCTAAAAAGTTACCAGATTGCATATAGAGAAGGTATGATTTGATTATTATTTGACCACATGTTACAATTTTTGATTTGAGTGTGTACATTTTGCCAGGTGATGATTACATTTTGCCTGTTGGCCGAGACCTAGATATAAACTTTCATTTAGATAATTAGGGGTATAGCACAGGCAAGATCAAGGGAATAAAGAAGAGCTGCATGATTTACCTTTGAACTACATTTTATATTGAAAGTATTTACGTAATGTACATGTACAGCAATTACTGCAAAATTACAGCAAAATTTGAAACAATTATATTTTTTTCTGGGGGATCCACAAACTACAAGCACTGCTTTTTAGTGGATCCCCCCCCCCCCTCCCCCATTTCCTCAGAAATTAAGAATTTCTTGTAATAATTATGTGCAAAGTGTATTTGTATAGTTACCAGAAAAAATGAATTCTGTATGAAAAAAAATGTAATATGTTTGTTTACCTTTTTGTCGGAAAGGAAATAAATATGAATTGAATTGAATTGAATAGAGAGAGAAATATTTATTGATTTTTGTGATAAGACCAATAATGATTTAAGACACATTGTACATCAGGAAATGCGTCACTGGAAATGACTGAATATTTCTCAATATTTTATTTCCTGTGTAGTTACCTGTAATTACCACAACTATAGACAACGATGTTAAAGGAAAGCTTGATGACATGTTTGAATAGACCAGTTTTATTATTAACTTTTAAATTTATGGGTGTTTTAACTGTCTTTTCCCTGGGGGACCTAGTGATGAGTTATTCCATTAACCTGTTATTAATGAATGAACTACAATACTTGAAATCAAATCTGCATATATAACATGTTGCTATGTTGGGCAAGCATATGGCATACTTTCAGGTTGTCAAGAATAACCTACAGTATCTTTTAAAAGAATGCATACAATTTCAATTTTATTTAGCCGGTCTATTGTTTGGGAGTAGTTGCTTTTGTTTATTGTACTTTATGTAAAATTATATTCTTTCAATGGAGGAAGAGCCTTGAAAAAAGCTGACGAACTCGCTCTACATGGTAAGTTTCACCAAAAGGGCATGCCTGAGAGGAAATTTAAAGAAGAATGAAATCCTTCATTGTAACCTACTGTACGTCATTATGTAGAGGACATTTAAACTCACATTTTCATACAACAATTAGGTTTGTAGGATATGTATATGATTATGTATTCACTAATTAAGCATGCTTTGGATCCCAGTCTCAGGGGACTTCGTGGCAGTTCGTGCTTTGCATGTACATGTATAAGTTCATACTCTTTCCACGTGCCCATTTTACAAGATTAAAATTTTGTTTGTGGATCTCTGTGAGCTGTAAGTAAATACCTCATTGGCATTCTATGAACATACAACTTATATAGCAGGCCATTCCATGCACTTTATTAAATGCTCAAACCTTCATTTTGCTATTCTCCATGCCAATGTCTATTCAAGTTCAGAGGAGAGTAAAACATAAAAATCATAGAGCTGTTTGGTATTTGTGTTCATGTACAGCTATGTGATAAATGTTGCTTTTGTAAACAGCAGCAGGTTGGTGAGATTTAGGGGTTCTTGAAATTCGAACAGCTTACCGGTACATTAGCTGTTCAGACTGTACAAATTTATACAAAACTTACATTTATACAAGGAAACATCATATAAAGAATGATTGTAGAGTGAAAAGAGCATACAGACTGGAAAACAAAATTGTATTCTTAAAGTAACGAATTTTGAAAACGTTGCATTAATAGCTGGCTTATCATTATTGGTTCTCATTATAAACCCCACCCAGATAAATGATTTTCATAGATAATATACGACCTTCAGACTTGAGAGAGACCCTGATTCTTTATTGAGTGTTCGTTCAAAACGATGCTTAAAAAAGCGTTTCATGATAACAAAATTCATTGTTTTATGATGTTCAAATTGTTCAATTATTGTATATATTTATATATAGCCACACATTGTTATGATAAAGTCTAGTGGTCTATATGGGTGATAAGTAGCACATGTACGGATGTACCGTGTACCTTTATAGCTTTACTTCTATTGAAGTTTCCTCACTAGGCAAGTTTCGGTAACACGTTTTCACGTTCACTTGTGTTTTGTGTACATACAAAAATTATTCCATACAATTTTAATATTTGCTCAGATACTATTATCATTCCATTTTATCCAAGGGTCAAGTCTTCTATAAGAATTTCACAATGTAAAGGGGTTGAAGTCCAAGACCGTTATTCACAGTTGTAACCAGGGTACAAGAAGTGGTACGAAAAGGCCTACGCCTAAACTTTTACAGACCATATTAAACATCGTGTAGATTTGAAGATGTTTGGTACGTAAGTGACAAGCAACACATGCAATTTTTTTTCTCATGAACATACACCTTTTGTATGATTTTAAATTCAATATCTAATTGTGATTTATAAATTTACATAATTTTACTCTGATTGTATTATTAAATTGTACATTGTACATACATATATTCTCCTTGCGTTGTGGATTATCCATGGATTTTCCCTGTATATTCCAGTGCCTTGAGCATTTTGCATATTGGGTTTACGTGTATTGTCCTTTTCTAAGTACCTAGAATCAAAGAACAGTAGTGAATAAAGAGTTCACGTAAACCACAAGAAAATGTATGTGCAAGATGAAATGCTTCAGTATACTTCTATTCATTGTTAAATTTTTTCCTCACTACCATGATCACTCTAATTATTAATCATCTTATTTCATTGAGGTCACTTTTTGTCTGTCGTACGTAAACTTTTTATATTGTCAACTTCTTTTCAAAAATGCATGGCTGGATTTTAATCAAACCTGGTAGGAATATTCCTTAAGCAAATGGAGATCTAAAGTTGTTCAAATGGGGAATGCACCCCAGCAAGAGCCTGGGGGCAGAACCCCCAATGTTCCTCAGTGGCTGTAATTGCATATTTTATTCTCTTCCTGAAAAGTGAAAATCCATGGCTGGATTCTAACAAAAATTTGTAGGAATCACCTGCAGGAAAGGTACATGTACATACATGTACATGTAGATCTAAAGTTGTTCATGTGGGGTATATCTCCCCAAAGGTGGTTGTTGTCGTTGGTAGTTGTTTTAATAATGGTGTTCAGTCAGTGCTGAATAAGCATATACGCCATATCTTCGATTATATAAGAAATTCAGTTATCTGTAAAGAAAACTGAAGATAATACATTGTAATAATGCGTGAATGCTTAATTCACCAGTATCGCAATTTACTGGGAGTTGGGGAGAGCCTCAAACATCTACCTTCCAAACAAACAGGAATTTGAGCACAGCAAACTTTAAAATGTGCATTCATTTGAATCAAGGATATCTCTTCAAAATACCTGGTTACCCTCATTTTCTATTTCATATTCTGATAGATCATGAAGTGTAGATATGATTTCATACCAAGATGTTAGTATAGATTCTGGCTATAATTTTGTAGGAATTACTTTTATGTAAAGAAGATCTAAATTTGTTTGAATATGATACCTGCCCCTGCAGGGGACTTGGGAGCAGCATTTTTGCTATACTGTTCCAATAAATCCTATGTTCCTGGTGCAACAGGGATGGGAGCTAGATCCCTTTTCGGTAGGCCTCTACAATGTGTGTACTGCCCTCCTCTCAGGTGAGCGTGAGGTCCTCTTGTTTTTGTGTGCGTCCCCATTTCTTTACTACGTGCATCCAGGTTTTTCTAACATAGCAATACAAAGTGAAGGCGTCTTCGTTTTCACAGTCTCACAAGTGAAGGACTACAATGTACAGTTCTGGTACAAATATAGGACTATATATTATTTACATCATATTCATGTACCTGTACACACAAAAGATAGCATTGTGTCTTTCTTCAATCAACTCCTCTCCTTATCAACGCACGCAGGCGAGTGTCAAAAGAAAACTAATATAAATGTGCGCATGAACGTGACATCTGCCTAGAAGACTTGTAGGTGTTCTCCTATTAAACCACTGCCTCCCGAGAGCAATGACACATGCTTCATATCAGCTTGAATTTATTATTTATCTGTAGTTTGTGGGTATTTTGAGTTTGATTAGAAGCATTGCATGTACATGTACAGTAAATTGCGCTTGTAGTTGTATGGGCTGCAGATAAACTCATCGATGGCACCTGCAGGCAGATACTGTATGTGCAATCTTGGATATTTAAAGTGCATAGTTGGATTAAATCCCTATTGTGCATTTTGTGGTCTGAAAATCATGTACAGTGCAGTTTACCAGATTGTCTGTGAGCAAGCCTTTGAAAACAGACTAAAAGATTATAAATCACTAACCACAAAATACTTAAAGGTAAAGACCAGTAATGGTAAAATTGCAGTTCAAGGGTTTTGGGTGCGAAATATCCATTCAATATTGTTTGAATATTGTCTTCAGAGGTTTAGATGGCAATACTTCAACCTAAATTCTCAAAAAAGCAGAAATATATGCCCAAATGCTCAATGTTGAAATGGCCGAATGAACGGTTCAGTCGCTTGCCGTTCGATGAACAATTTTAAAATTCAAACAGCGCCATCTATCAGGAGTAACTATACTGCGCATGCGCTAATGTCTGTCGTCTGCTTGCAATGGCGAGATTTGAGAATCGATTACAAGTTGAAATAAACATTGGGTTTGTATACTAGCAAAGTGACTGCGGTAGCTGCCAGTGATCAACCGTGTTGCGTCGGGCTCAGCTGTACATGTATGGAAGGATTGCCCGGCCCTCGCATGGGCTGTCTGCATTCACCACCACAGTTGAGATCTGAGCCGTGTCAGTTCGTTCACTAAATTCTACAACTTTACAATATTAAACCAGCAGTACTAGGCTTAGCATTTGACGAAAAGGGACTTACCTGTGTTCCGTGTATTTTTTGTCCGTGCCAAAAAAAAATTTAGCATTGAAAATCGGAAGGATAGGATTCCACTAGCATGACTAGTGATACCACTTTCCCAGGTCGATCCCCGTCAAAATCAAATCACAGCAAGGGGCTAACTTGGCCAACAAAGAGGTATGG